CACGGGCAGCCCCGGCCTCCGTTTCCCCCTACGCCGACTTGCCTCCCGTCCCACAGCCAACCCCCACCACAAGGGGCGCTGGTGGTGCCAGGGCCTGGGCTGGGCCCACAGGAGGCTTTTCCCGCCCTGGCGCGGAATCGAACATGGGAAGACCCGGCTGCGGCAGGGATTCCCAGCTACCTCGGCCGCGGCGCAGACAGCAGGCCCCGCTCAGCCTCCCCCCCCGAAGTGACAAAAGTAGGGACCCCCCCACCAATACAATTATTGACGTCCCACACCAATTAATTACGCGCTTTAACAGCCCAGGCATGAATATTCACGGCACATCCCTCTCGCGTGCTCTAATTAAGACGTACAACTGGAACAAGAAGCTGCCATGGAGCGTGACTTCTTCCCAACTTCTCTTCCCAAGGCTGGAGGTAACTCCACAGAGCCCTGGGGAAGAATGTCTCCCCATCGGGAGGGGCCCAGGAGCCGCTGGGTGCCACCCACACCTGGCCTGGCCCAGCTCCGGGGGCAGGGACGGCCCCTGTCCAGGCACCTTGGGGCAGCAGCTGCTGCCGGGGCTCCGAGCCCGAGCGGACTCCTGCCGCAGCCGGGTCCCCTCCTGAGTGTGACACCAGGCCGGCCCTAGCCTGACGCCCCTTTGCGGACACAGGATGAGCCTCCAGAAGGCACCAGGGCCGCCGGGGAGGCCTGAGGCCCCCGGAGGTCAGCCCGGTGTTCGTAGACGAGCTTCACCTCCCCGGGGCTGTGCCCACGTGTCCGCACACCTTCGGCAGGCCTCTGGCAGCATCAGGGCTGGTCGCCACGGAGACCATCCCCTCCCCAGCCCTGCACGGAGGGGTCTCTGAGGGCCAGAGAGTGGCCGGGGATCAGAGCCTCCAGAAGGAGCCCTGCCAGCAAGGCCAGGCACAGCAGCGCACGCCCGCAACCCCAGCATCCTGGGAGGCTGAGGCAGGAGGATCGCTTGGGCCTGAGCAACACAGTGAGACTCTGTCTCTGTGGAATACGCTGTGATTAGCAGGGCACAGTGGTGCCTGCCGTTCCACACAAGGCCAGGCGGTCCTGGCCCAGCTGAGCCTCGGGGACCTCACCCTGCAGCCCCAGCCGGTATCAGGCCGGAGCCCTGAGGCTCACCAACTCCTGCCTCACCCGAGACCCACCTCTGGGCCTCAGACTGGCCAGACACCAGCTTCTGGCCCCCCGGGCTGGCCTGGCAGCTTCCTCCCGTTTCCTGCCGATGCCCTGCCTGGCTCCCCCCAAGCTCTCCCAAGGCTCCCCATTGCCCTCAGGGTGCGGAACAGGTTCCTCCCTGACCCCCCCCCCCCCCCCCCCCCC